CGCGTCCGTACCGCGACCAGCAACGGGATCGCAACCCTCGGTGTCGTGCCCGCACCGCGCTCAACCAGTGAGCAGACCGGTCTCTGTATGGGATCCGAACCCTCAGCGGGAGCGCCGCCACGCTCTCAAGCGCCACACTCTACCAAGTGCGCCACCGGGCCGGCCCAAAAAATTGTTTTTAATTATGTTTTAAATTTGAGGGATAATTTACATTTCTTTGACCCTTAATCTTAACAGTAGGCATTATAGTACTAATTCTTAACCAGAACCACCCATCTAGAAAAAAGAATCAAGTATATGTGAGAACTTCCTGCAGCAAACACACTGAATTAGAGTCATAACTAAAACAAAAATCAATGTGCTGTTATATTTTATACAGAAAAATACTAGACTATGAAAATATTGTTTTAGTCTCAGAAATTCATTTTAAAATCTAAATGAAATTTTCTTTTCCACAGATGGTTGGTAAAGACTTTTTCCTAGTTCAGACAAAGGAAGTGTCCATGAAACCTGAGGATGCTCAAAGGGTTTTTCGAGAAAAAGCACCTGACTTCCTTCCTCTTCTGAACAAAGGTACCTTCTGGATGATTGGTATTTTTGTGGTTATTTTCTTGACATGCTGATTTAATTTACTCTTGCTTTTAACATTTCTCTTACATTGCCTTCTCTTTCCCATTTGTTCTATGTCTTTTCCTATTACTGCTCAGAAATGTCAAAAATTTCATATCACTCAAGAAGCCCTAGATAACTAACTAGAAATTAGGCATTAGTTCTTTTCTTATTCTATGTTCTTAGTGCTTGAAAGTCAGACTTTATTATTATATATTTTATTATTTTTAATTATTATTTTATTGTACCTTTGTACCGAGTTGGAAAGCACTTGATAAAAGATTCTTTTTGCCTTCAGTGTGCTTTCACCATACTGGAAAAGAAATAAATTTAAGGTTGTATAATATTTTATGTATTTAATATGATTGATTAACTTGCCATGTATAATTTAAAAATCGTTCTTCCCAATGGGTGAATGCCACCAATAAATTTCAGATACTGGCTGCAAAGAGAGCAACTGGAGTTGTGTGCCCTCCTGAAGGGTTGTCATCTGGCTATCTGTATTTGAAGGTGTACTGCTAGAGGACAGAGTAGTACTTAATCTGTTCACAGTGGCGACATTGTTTGCTCAAGGCTCATCAGGCTTTTCTTGACTGGCCTAAGCAAATGTATATAGTAATAAGCAATGCTGATTGGGATACCCTAGGAAGAGGTCACATCTACATTTATATGCTCTTTATGTATAAGTAAATTATAATAAACTGCAAAACTTGTGTGAAAATGTTGGAGATTTTTATGATAATTTTAATAAGTAATGCTGGGTGTAGCTCAGCTGTTAAGTATTAATACAGTATTTCTTATACTTTCGTGGTCACTTTAGTAGTAGTAAGGACTTGCTCCACCCCAATACATGAATCTACCCCAGAATATATACAAGAAATTATGATCTGGCCCTTTTGATGCAACCATTTTGACATGGAAACATTCTGATGGAACCTTGAAAATGAACCTTTAAACTCTCAGCAGCTTTCGGGAATTGAATCAAGCAATAAGTACAATGGACATCCTATAGTGTGAGGATTAGGAATGAAGTGAGCATACGAGTAAGTGTAAATTCACAATTTATATACTTGTGTGATGTTAGTATCATAGGATTGCTCCAACCCAAATACAATATCTGCATGTAACAGAACTTTCTATATGGGAGAAGTAAAATGTTCTGTTGCTGCAAAAACTAGAACTAAAATCAGTGAGCAAATGTTACAGGAATTTCAGCAAATAAACATGATATAAACAAGTCTTAAAAACCAAAGATGCCCATTGCCCATAGGAAGTACTCAAAGACTGATGAGGTCATGTCAGAAGGTCACACGAGCCAGCTTGAAGGAGTTTCCACTGGCTAAATCTGGGACAATTTGACCATCAAAAAGAATAATGAGGGTAATGATTTAGCAAAAACAGAAATCCATGCATCTATAATGATGAACAAAAAGTGAGGTGGGGGTGGTAAAGGAACACTTGTCTGTTGTTCACAGTATTGTGAACTAATAAATGTAGAATCACAGACTTTGGAAATCACCATTTTCTAACCCCAGTGTAATAATTACTTCAGACAAAGATTATCAGTGGATGCTGAAACTATTGGAGTAAAAGTTGCTAATAAATAGTATATTTATGTATTCTGATTTAGTAGAGGTCTGAGAAGTAGTAGGGGCAGAGTACCCCTTTAAAGGGGAAGTGTACCTTTACAGCAGAGATGTGATTATCACTGTGTTAACCCAGTAATCAAACTTAGCATCACTGATGGACACCCTGACATTGTGTTTCTCCTGATGTGATGCAATGAGAAATACACAATATCATCTTGTCACTTCTCAATGTGTGACAGAGATGCAAAGATTACTCAGAGCCCAAATATTAAGAGCAATGAGAAGCCCAAAGGGACTGCACTGAGAAAACTCCCTCAAGAAGGGAGAAACAAGGCACAGCCCCAAGTCAGTACTTGCTTCAGCTTTTAATATAAAAACAAGGAAATACAAGAGAAAAAACAACTTAATCATTTGTCAAAGGAATGAAAAGAAATTGGCTATGGGGCATTCTCTGGAAAACATCATGAGAAACAAAGGAAATGGAGTGAAACTGTATAAGAAATGACCTTAATGTTCTTATTTAATCTATCAGAAACTATTTGCTGTTTCCAGCATGTGCTGTTTTCAGCACTTAGGTTCTGCATACATGCATTTAGGACTTCTGCCCTTGGTGCACTCCCTGTTCTTTGTCAAGCCTATGTGCTCCCACATCGTCTTTGAAGTGTTCTTGCTGAAAATATTTAACCTGAATCTAATCGAGCCAAGACTTAACTTCAAGTTTGTAGGAAAGAAAGGAAATATATTAAATGGACACCATGAAGAAACAATGAGACAAATCCAAAACAGAAGACATTCTACAAGACAACTGGCTAGGTCTCTTCAGACAATGTCATGAAAAACAAACAAAAAATATAGGGGAACTGTTGTGGATTAAAAGAGACTACTTGGGGCCAGCCTGTGGCTCACTTGGGAGAGTGTGGTGCTGATAACACCAAGGCCATGGGTTCAGATCCCATATATGGATGGCTGGTTAGCTCACTGGCTGAGCGTGGTGCTGACAACACCAAGACAAGGGTTAAGATCCCCTTACCGGTCATCTTAAAAAAATATAAAAATAAAAAAAATAAAAGAGACTACAGAGACATAACAACTAATTGCAGTGAGTAAGCCTTGATTGGATCTTGGAATGGGGTGGGATGAGCTACAAAGCTATAAAAGGCATTTTTGGGACAATTTCAGAAGTTTGAAGATGATAGGGAATTATTGTTAATATCCTTAGGTGTGATAATGATATTGTGGTTATGTAGGAGATGCATACTGAGGTCTGCTACTTTCAAGTGACTCAGCAAAACAAACAAAAGCATGTGTGCAGATGGTGTGTAGCATATAATAAAGCAAATGTGGCTAAATATTAACTCTTCATAGATGTAGGTAAAGGACAAATGGATGTTTATGCTATTCATTCAACTCAACTATAATGTGTAAAAATTTTCAAAATAAAAAGTTGGAGAAAATTTTAAGCTGCTCAGTAGTGCATTGATTCATGTGGAATAGTGAGCAGGCTGTCAGTGGAGATATTCTAGCAGTTGTTGGACGGACTGGGCCCTTATCTAAAAGTGGCCATCCATCATTCTAACGTAGAGTTTCTCAACCTTGACACTTGTTGACATTTTAGGCCAGATAATTATTTGTTATGGGGGGCTGTCATGTACATTATAGGATGTTTAGCAGCATCTCTGGCCTCTACCCACTAGATGCCAGTAACACTCCCCCCCGCCCGCCGCCAAGTTCTGGCAACCAAAAAAACCGAAAATGTTTTCAGACATTGCTAAATGTACCCTGGGGGGCAAAATTGCTAAGGATAGACTTATTCTTTTGAAAATTCACATTTATCTTAAACACTTTATACCTCAGAGTCTCTAAATTTTCCTCTTCAGTTAAAGTAGTCACAATTATTTACGTTCAGTTAATAAAGCTATATGACTGCTTAATAAGAGAATTCATTATTTTCTATCTTGAGAATCTTCTAAACCTAATTCTCAAAACCAGTTCTAGGGTGCTTTTAAAAATATAAATTTCCGGGCCGGCCCGGTGGCGCACTGCTACAGTGCGCCGCTTGCGAGCGTGGTGGCGCTCCCGCCGAGGGTTCAGATCCCACATACAGACCGGTTCCCGCTCACTGGCTGAGCGAGGTGCAGGCATGACACCGAGGGTTGCGATCCCGTCGCTGGTCCCGGTCCAGTACGGGCGCGACACTGAGGGTTGTGATCCATTGCCGGACACGAAAAAAGACAAAAAGTAAAAAAAAAAAATTGGCATTGGTAAAATGTTATTAACTTAATCTATAGACTTTATTCAAGTATCACTAATTTTTCCAACTATGTCCTTTTTTGGCTCCAGAATTCAATCCAAGATTTCACATTGCTTTTAGTTGCCTTGTCTCCTTAACTTCCTCCAATCTGACAGTTCTTCAGTCTTACCTTGTTTTTCATAAGCTTGAACTTTTGAACAGTACTACTGGTCAGGTATTCTGTAGAATGCCCCTCAATTTGGGTTTGTCTATGTTTTCTCTAGTTAGACTACAGTTATGAGTTTTGGGGAAGAGGTGAAGTTCCCTTCTCATCACATCACATCAAAGAGCACATGATATCAACATGAGGTGGTATCTGCCAGGTTTCTCTACTGCAAAGTTTTTGTGTTTCTCTTTCCATACCCTGTTCTTTGGAAAGTGAGTCACTAAGACCAGCCCACACTCAAGGAGAAGAGAATTAAGCTCCACCTCCTGGAGAGAGAAATATCACATACATTATTTGGCATTCTTTTGTAAGAAAGATTTGTCCCTTTTCCTCCATTTATTTCTATCAGTATTGACTCATGGGTATGTATTTTATTTTGGGGGTTATAATCCAATACTATAAAATTGTTCCAGTTTTAGCCACTGGGAGCTCTTTTAGGTTGGCTCCTCTGTCCCTTTGACATACCTCTATCCTTTTGATTTTTGTGTTTTGGTTTTTGGGTTTTTTCTTCCTTTCGATTTTTGAACACTCCCTTACTTTCTGGCTCTACAAGATGCTGTAGGCTCATCCTATATTTTCCTTGCCCCAGTACTAGTATCAACCATTTCCCCAAGGAGTTCTGGTTCCTTTTATTCTAGAATGGTAGTTAGAAATCAGGATCTGGATGCTAGCTAGTTATGTCCATCACTACTGGGGTAACACTGGTTCTAGGCCCTTTCAACAGACAGAAGTAGGAAATATCTGTATGAATATTAATCCATATATACACACATATCTATAATTAGTTCTGTATCTATCTGTGTATATATTAAAATGTATCTGACCATAATTAGCACCACAGGGTTCATTCTAGTCTCCCTTCTTTTGCTTTATTGTGACTTCTTACTCTGAAAGTGAGAAACCTGGCTCTTGTTATCTA